AATGGTTAATGAAGATACAAATATCCATATCTGTTTTTTACATGAAATATCAAAGAATTGATTTCACATTAAAGAAAATTTATCTAATCTTGTGCTACTTGTCATATTGCCATTCGAATGGAAGACTTCAACTGAGAGGGGAAATTAGATTTTTAGTAAATTGTGATAGAAGTTTTTGAAATGTGTGGTTGAAATGTTGTGAGATCCATGAAAGATGTGGTTGATATTGATTGTTTGACTTTAACTTAGATTAAAATCAGATTTTAATCCACACCAAACAGGTTCTAAACCTCTCAACTATAATATTTGTACTTTCTTGATTATTTGTTCTTTTTTTCTAAAATGTGGGACACAATGCACATAATTCTAAACATTATTTTTTACAAATTCTTGTAAAAATTAGCTAGTGGGGATACCACCTACTCACTCCCAGTTTTGCCAGTCAACATTTGGATTATTCAGACATTGTTTTGTCAGCTATTGTAATTTCTTGTGGAGGATAATGAAAAAAGTATCACAAACCTGAGTCTATTGGACTTTTTACATACCTAACAACGTATTTAGGAGTACAAAAAATTTGCAAATTTTGACACGCTTCTGAAAGGACCCCATTTGGTTGACTTTAGATGAAAAATTTTGAGGTGAAGAAGGCCATATTGGAAAAAAAATCCATTCCAGGTTCAATTTCTGGCTCATAATTCATATCCTGGTGTAAACTTGTTGTATACTCTGTATTTGGCAGCTTGTTAGTCCAAGTTCATTCTCCAAGTACCTTAACCACTCCCTGCATTCATCTTCACTGTCTAGTTTTTCCACATCATTAAAAACCTTTGAATTTTCACATTCATTTTTTTCGGTGTTCGTGGTCTGAAAAGGATCCAACGCATCCAACAAGTTCCAAAAGTCGATATCTGACTTGAAAGGGATTTCGATTTTTTCCTCTGAAGCAGTCGACCCCTTCGTCTCCTCCAGCCTTGCAACATTAGAGAAATTTGATGCATAAGAAGATGTTGTAGAACCAGAACTTGCAGTTTCTTTTGGTAGGATGTCTAGATATTACTTTTAGAAACTCGGGTTTCTCGGTAGGTTTTTTGGCATGGGATTCTTGAACCGTTTGATCTATCATTTCCATGTTTTGGTCTTCATTTGACGTAATTGAACTCGATGAACTATATTGAGAATCAGAATAGTCCATTGGAGAGTCACCGGCTTTTCTTCAAGTGTGTATTCCACACATTGTTAATCTCATTATCAGTTCTTCCAGGCAAATGAGAAGCAATCTTTGACCACCTGCATATTACAGATTACAATTAAATAATCGAAGAAATCAAAGATAATCTATAATGAGTTAATATGTAATCAAATGAAGAAAAATGTCAAAGAAATTAATACAAGTTAATAAGTTGCTGTCATACTTGTTTCCAAAAGAGTTGTGCAGTTTGATTATGGTTTCCTCTTCCTCAGGTGTGAAGTTTCCACGTTTTACATCAGGTCGTAGGTAATTGATCCACCTCAAACGACAACTCTTTCCACATCGCAATAGTCCTGCAAACAAAAAACCATCGAATATTATAAAAATCACGAAAGAAGAAAATATATTGAAGTCATTTTCTTCTTGATGGGATGATGAGCACAAGTGACTCAAAGCTCTAACCACATTTCAATCTGCATAATTCCCTGTAAAGAATGTAATTCAAACTCAGAATGTTTAGGGTGTGTTTGATATGCAAACTTTTCTAGGGATTTCCATTTTCCAACTTTATGGGTGTTTGATTAGCAAGATTTTCCAAGGAAAAAGTTTTCAACCTCTCACCCTCACGTGCCTAATTTATTTCTTTTGAAGGAATTGACTTTCCTTTTGATTTGGTGAGAATTCATTTTTGGGTTCTTGGTCCTTTTTTTTTTTATTTGCTTTGCAATTGAATAAAAATTCTAGATACAATGGTAAAAAAATGTATCACTTTTATTGGCAATTTTCAAGCAAAACAAAGTCAAACGAATGATATTCGGTATGGTAATTTTTTTTAAAAAAAATTTAAAGTTATTTTTTTTTTTTGGTGAGTGGAACAAATTCTAGACTCAATAGTAAAAAAAATTATTACTTTAATAGACAATTTTTATGAAAAACAAAGTCAAACGGATACCAAATTTTTAACATTTTCTAGCTGAAAAATTATACATATCAAACACAATTAATTACAATTCCCATTAAAACAAATTCTAGGAAAATCTTTTTCCTGTAAAACATTTCTTTCCACACATTTTTCACCCTTGCAATTAAACGGACCCTTATTTCTTGAAACTACACGAAATTCAATTGCTCTCGTGTAAATTAGGAAAAGAATGAACTAAAATTTATAGCTTCCTCTGTCGTATTAGTAAAATTTTAAAAATACAGATCTCATACTGAAATTATATAGGCTCGACACTGAGAAATGATCCCGAGCATAAGGAAAGTTGCTTTATATGCCAAGCAACAAGATTTTAGACAGCTGGTGCAATAGAAAAGATTTTGTAAAGCATGGATGCCTGCAATGACATAAACCTTGAAGGCTAATATAGCACCAGAAGTTGATTTTGACATGTTTTAAGCAATTTTTCGATGCTTATGATCTGTATCTTTCACTAACTTATACCAATAAGCTCTAATCTCCAGAATAAGGCGTCGTAGATGTAGCTAAAATCAACAGATTATGATTATTCCATTGTTCGTTAAAACAGAACCTAAAGAACTTATTCATCAACTACTTTTAGTCCTTTCTTTCTGCCTTCTCATCTGTGCATTGTTCATCAAATTTCATGAGTCCATCCAACCCCACCCTCCGGCTTAAGTAACATA